GGCAAATCCCCATATCCACAACATATATTGGGAGGATATGTGGATGTCTGGGTGTGGCCGGGCAGTCCTCCATGCAAGATGTGGCCACCTCGGACAATATTTTCTCTTTCTTTTCCACCTCTCTCTCTCCATCTTCATTAATCACATGCATTTGATCGGGAAATTTGGGAACAGGGTAGAAGACATGCTTGCATGCATGCACAAAATGAAGGCTTGAAACGCATAGGCCCGGACACGACCTCGGACATTTGAGGTGTCAAATTTGAAAATTATGGTTGTAGACGCCCTAAACAGTCAGCAGCGAAGAGGTGTCGTGCATGGCAGTTTGCCCGATCTGGTGACGCATCTTGGATCGGGTGGACTTGCTTCCTTATAATGCAGAAGTACTACGCTGAGTGGATTCGACGGCAGCAGGCTGGACCGCGTTGCAGCAGATCGCAGATCTGAATGTGAGAGAGAAATTAATGCCTCTTCGATGTAGTACTCTATTAGGTAAAGCTTCATTAATTCAGGAACAGTGGTTGTACGGAGAAAACACTAGTGGGGGTTTTTTTAGGGAAAAAAACACTAGTGGTCGCATCAATAATTCTACACCTACGGGCATGTAACGTAATCGCCAGATGCCAAAGTTTCAAAAAATATATTATTCGCCAGGTGCCATGATGTTTTCGTAAGGTGCTTAAGTAAAAAATAAATACGTAAGTGTAGCGAAGCTCGGGTGACATAGTATAAAATTGGTTAAATGTTTGTGGTTGGGCATGGTACAGCATAGTGCAGGACCTGCCAATACGCCAGTCGATTCCACGCACAGATCATGGAAATGGAGTAGCTGTCTCGTGATGCCTGCATGCGGCAAATCACATCTGTGCAGCTAGCGTAATCAATTCAGTCGTCGATACGGATGCCAAAAGTACTTGCCATGCGGATGCACATCTCCATTTTTCAATTTGATTTGATACGCATAATTCACTCGATGGGCGCTACAGTGGATCAGGTGTGTACTGTTTGGCGGTTGATGAACGCAGATGCCTCGCTCCGCCTATAAGTAGCACGCGGTCAAGCTCACCACGAGCGCCAAGGGAATTAAGTATTGCCCATACCACGCTCGCTCCACGACGCACGCGCCGCGATGTCCAATACCGAGGTGCTCCTCGCCGGCCCGGGCAGTGTCGGCGGCGGCGAGCGCCTGAGCATCGACGACGCGCTGGCGCTGCACGCGGGGGAGTTCGGGCGGTGGCAGCTACGGCACTTCCTGCTGGTGACGGCGGCGTGGATTCTGGAGGCGATGCACACCATGGTCATGATCTTCGCCGACCGCGAGCCGGCCATGTCGTGCCCCGCGGGGGACGGGCGGTGCGGCGACCGCTGCGCGGGCGCCGCGGCCGGGTGGCAGTGGGACCAGGGGAGCGGCTCGTCGACGGTGGCGGAGTGGGGCCTCGTCTGCGGCGAGAGCTACAAGGTCGGCCTCGTCCATGCTCTCTATTTCGCCAGCGCCATGATCGGTACGTACATGCGATAGTGCTGTGCTCCCGTCGGTGATCTATTATGTGGATGATTCCGCCGTTTTGATGCTCCCGTATAGCCGTTACTCTACATCACATGCTGTCTGCCTCCATCATTCGAATCACTGGATCGACGCATTACTAGTTCAAGAGGATAGTTGTAGTTGCATTTGACTCTCGCTGGCTCCCTCTCCACTAGCAAAGTTGCCGATCGCGATGCTCTGGAGGTGCTGATTGGGATGGTTTGAGCCTCTGCCGTTTCCTTATCACCGCAAAACTCGGACGCCCAAGCTCAATCTTAGAAGCGTTTCTTCTTTTGGTAGTAAGTTGTTGACCTACGTGTCTGTTTATCGTTCCTTCTCTGGCCTGCGTGCCGTGAACTATGTTGGCCTGCGTTTCTAGGTTGATGGCCTGATACTCTATTTGCTCGACCCTTTTCGTGGTTGCTTTAGCGTCTGTTATACTCTGTTCGGTGGCTTAATTTTAAAGTCAGGCATATATCTTTTCTCTAAAATAATGTAAACCGCAACTAGAGTAGTAACATGTGTGTTTCTAGTATGTGGAGCAAGTAATGACGATTTTATTTTGTGTTTACATCCACACAATTATTGGTACTAATAATCTGAGCATTGACTTATACTTTGCACCAATTTGAGCTCTCTTCATTCAAAGAAAGAGCTAGATTACAATCCAAAATCTAGTTTGGTCAAACTGTTTTGCCAGCGTGATTCTTGCGTGTGTGTGCATAGTATTGCTTGTGTGCATCTTAATTATACAAAGGCCGTGTGTGTACTCATTGTGCTTGTATCGCTCGATGCTATATTATGAGTCAATAAAAACACTCTTTGTTGAAAAAAGTTTGATCAAACTGTTTATTTATTTATCAATTTATTTGGCATTCTTGTTTCATGTACTTGACCATATGGTTGGCTTGTTGCAGGCGCTGGCGTCTTTGGACACTTATCGGACTCTTCTCTGGGTCGGAAGGGATCCCTCTTTGTGGTGTGCTCCCTCAATGCCATTTTTGGCCTCTTCACCGCGCTCTCTCCCAACTATTGGGTCTACGTGGCCTTGCGCATCCTCACAGGCTTCAGCGCCGGCAGCATTTGCCTTTGCTCCTTCATCCTTGCCACAGAGCCCGTAGGGCCCTCCTATCGTGGCGTTGTTGGCATGTCCACGTGTTATTTCTTCTCCGGCGGCATCGCGATCCTCGCCGGCATCGCCGCGATGTTCCAGTCCTCCTGGCGCCTCCTCTATGTCGTCACCTCCATGCCCTCCCTCGCCTTCATGCTCACCGTCATGCCGTTTGTCTCTGAATCCCCACGTTGGTACCTTGTGCGGAGGCGCGCAGAGGATGCAATGCGTGTCGTACGAGACATTGCGTCCACCAATGGAAAGAGCATCCCAGATGGCATCACACTCAAGATCGACGATGAGGATGATATCAACAAGAAGACCGAGGAGTCATCGTCGTCGATCCTAGATGTGTTTTGGTCACGAACGACGCGGGGCAGGCTGGTGCTCTCAGTGCTCATCAGTTTCCTTTGTTCGGTGGTATACTACGGGCTGAGTCTCAATGTGGTCAATCTAAAGATTAACCTTTACATCAGTGTGGCTGTTAACTCTCTCGCCGAGATGCCCGCATTTCTTCTCACTACGATGCTCCTCCAACACTTGGGTCGGAAGCCACTCGCCATTGGCTCGATGCTTCTCAGCGGTGTTTTCTGTACATCTGCCAGTCTTATTGCCGGCGTTGGTGCCATGAGGTAATTAAATCCTTCTTGTTTTTGCATGTACGTGACATGATGGGTTAGAAGATTTTCTTTAACTGCAGACAATTGCGTCTCATTGTAGGGCGGTGAGGATGGCATGTGGGGTGGTAGGAATCTTCGGAATGGCCGCGACATACAACCTATTGGTTGTATACACAGCAGAGTTGTTCCCTACGACAGTGCGTACCGCGGCGATGGGATGTACGTTACAAGCTTCCAAGATGGGTGCCATACTAGCACCCATGGTAGTGTTACTTGGGGAGCGGATGCCATTCGCAGTGTTTGGCATGTTGGGTATCATCGGTGGGCTACTCGTGTTCTGCCTCCCAGAGACTATGCATAAGCCATTATATGATACCATGTTTGGATTGGAGAAAGGAGAGGGAGAATTTGTAACTAAAGGGGAAATTATAAGAGGAAACTCCGAAATTTGACCAGTTTTCATAAGAACTTTCTCCATAAGTATTGTTGGACCCAAGATATTACCAATGGAACCATGTTGCACACAAAGAGCGAGGCGTGTTGGTTTTCTCATCTGCATTACTATTTTTGCATGTGCTAGCAGATATACTCTTACTTTTAAAGATTTTAGTAGAGGGTTTCTATTTGTAGTATGTTTATACTTTTGTGTGCCTGCACAAGCTATTTTTGTGGGTCTTTTTTTTGTGTCCTAACATCACCCCACACAAGTTTGTTGTTGGAAAAGGCTAGCTTCCAAAATCTGCCTAGCACTAACATACAAGTTCAAGAGTAAAATCATTCGATTTGTCAAATAACAAAAAATAAATCTTCTTAGGTCTATTGTCTACATAATACATGTCAAACGAATGTCATGATGCCTTCACTTGTCTATGCGCTTATTTGTGATACAAATTTACAAGATGTTATCAATTAACCAAAGGATACTTGTGATGACTAAAAACATACTTTATTCCATACTAATCTTCGGAGGCCATTTTGGCTTGAATTTGCCGCACACTTCAAAATAATGAGATAGGTCGTTGTAATGGAGTTTCTTTATGTCCCTAAGGATTTATGGTTAACATGTTGGGGTATTGGGACGATGTTCTACTCGCCATACTATCAAAGGGATCTTCAAACCAGCAACATATTATTTGGACACCAAAATGAATGCTAAAATAACATATTGCAGTAAGACAAGGATCATTGATGAAAACAATGACAAGAAACCTAAGAGTGTTGGGACATAGTAGGTACCTAAGGGCATCTATAGCAGATCCAAAAAAATGAATCCCCATCTTGTTTCCTATCCTCTAAAAAGTTATTTTTAGGGGACTAAAATTTTCTTACTTACTAGATTTTCCCAAAGAAGCATTTGGTTGTGGTCGCGCGCGCACGTCTCTCTCTCTCTCTCTC